GTTTCGTGTGTTTCGCAGAACGATGAGTTTGGGAAGGCGAGGTGGTGGTGTTGCTTGGAGGTGACTCGGCACTCGGGCGTTTAGCACCGCGGACCTGGGTCCAAGAATCCTCGCCGCCGGACTCAGTGGCCATGTCCGCGGGGCAAGCAGCGAGCAAGCGAGCGGACACGGTGGGAGCGAGGGCGCCGCCAAAACGCGGGCCGCAAGGAGCGGGGTTGCAGATTTTGTCTGACAACGTGGTTCACGCCAAGATGTAAAAAAAAAAAAAACGTTGATGAGTTCATGCAGGCCAAAACCCATCATGGACACGACCGCAATGGCAAAGGTCGTGTCGCTCAATCGACGCAACTTGTCTCGACCCCGCATGGTCAAGACAGTGCTGACGCCCCACTCGCGTGAGGCCAGATATGCCTGCTGCAGGTCCAGCGCGCACTTGGCCATCAGGTCGTCCAGTGCCGCCTTGGAGCGAAAGGCAATGATCTCAGCTGGTCGCTGAGTCGCCGCGTCCTTGACCGTGGCCATCTGGAAGCCAGCTCGCTGCACATGGACCTCAAAGTCGGCAGCCCTCGATGCATCCTTCAAGAGTCGATCGTAGACCCGAGGGTAGCGAGTGGCCAGCTTGGCCATGTTGCAGACATAAGCCACCGGACCGCGCTCAACCAAGTCGTGCAGGCCAAAGCCCCCGGTGTTGGCCCGTGTGAAGAGGCGAGCCTCAAGGAGCTGTTCCAGCGTAACGTCATGACCTTCAGCTCCAGCCGGTGCAGACAGGTTTACCTTGGCAAAAAAGGCTTTGACAAAGGTGTCCTTGCAAGCACGGTTCAAGAGCTCGGACAAGCCCGACGTGAGACTTGGGGGCAGCGTGTAGAGGTGGTTGATGAGGCTAGGCACGTACTGCGGCCGTGAGGAGGGCCTGAAGCGAGACACCGGTCGTCAGCATGTCATTGAGCTTGCCAGCAATGTGCTTTGCCTTGTCGTTCAGCTGCTTCTTCATCCACTCGCGACGGCCAATCGGCGTTCCCAAGACCGTCATGCCCGTGTTGGCCGTCTCGCGCACGGCATCTGGCAATACAGACTTGATAGCAGTGATGGAAGCCGAATGGTGGCGAGGCATGTAGAAGCGGCTCTTACTGGGCTGCAGATGAAGGCCAGCAGACTCTGCACGAGCCTTGACAATCTCGACGTCGGCCGCCACGTCCTCCGCGGGACCCATCAGTACAATGTCGTCGAGGTACTTGATGACCTTGCAGCGGTAGTCAGTGGTGGTGTCGAGGAGACCCAGGACCTCACAGGAGTACAGGGCAAAGAAGAAGGGCGATAGCTCGTTGCCCTGCACAATGCCTTGGCCAACATCAATGTCAATCACCTTGAAGAATTTGTCGACAATGCAGTGGGTAGTGGGTCGAGCATAGTGTCGTTCAAAGGCGCGCAAGAGGCCAGGGACCTTGTCGGCCACAATCTCGGCAGCCGTGCTCGGTCGGTGTAGTTGAAGGCACTCTTGAAATCGAGGGAGAGCATGGTCCAGCCCGGGGTAGACTCACAGGCTTGAAGCTCACCAAAGGCCATGCCAACCGCTGCTGAAATGCCGTCCTTGACTCCGACGGCCAGCTCTGGACTGGCCTGTAGCAAGTGGGCAATATGGGGCTGCTGTTGCTCGAGCAGAGCGCGGTTGACAACCTTGTTGAAGATGGAATCCGTGCCCACGGGTCGAAACTTGCCATTGGCCTTCTCCAGGATAGTGTAGTTGATGGAGCAAAGGGCATGTCGAATCGACTCGGGCACGGTGTTGTTGGCAATGTGGTGAAAGATCTTGTTCAAGGCAACCTGAGGACCTCCAGTGGCGGTGGTGGGGCCCTGAGGCGCGTCTCCATCAGAAGGAGCAGTCGGGTCGCTGGTAGAACCCTGGCGTGGGCCCAAGACTTGACTGAAGTGCTCCTTGATGCGGTAGATGGAGGCAAGAAGCTCACCAGACCAACCATAGGGATCGGTGACGCCCTTCGTGGCCGCCAACGCCTTGGGGAGCTCACCCTTGGTGAAGGACACGGTTGGGGAGCTCGCAGCCGTGGCTGGTGCCAGTGTAGACGTGGAGGCGGGTGTTGAAGCAATGTACGGGGTCAGCCCGGGCGGTACCAAGAGGTCGCGCACGGCCTGAACCTCAGAATTACCAATCACGGCACGAGCCTTGTCGGCATCAAATGACAGGTGGAAGCGATATCAGCAATCTGTTGGGACCAACAGATGCCACAACAAGATGATACACCAAGATGGTACAGCAAGATGTTACACAACAAGGTGGGACAACATCAAGTACCAGAGGACACACAACGTGGTAAAGTATACCATCTCAGATTGTGCCTCTAATATGTCTTAACTGTGTAGCAGGCATTCAACAAAAATCGTACAAAACGACCAAGTATAACCAGAGATACGGCCATTTCAAACACAAGACACCCAAAAGGGCAGTCACACATCACAAGTATAAGCCATCACAGCACAAACACAATGAACACCACGGCACGCTCACATCCAACGAGACACAACGTCGGATTGAGGAAAACAACCGGCCACAGAAGAAAAAGACATCATACAAAGGACCTTACAAAAATTCAGCAAAAATTCAGCAAAAATTAAAGCAAAATTAAAACAAAAATACAAGTCAAGCCATCAAAAGACACAACGAGGAACCACCAAGGGAGCGACAGGTGCACACAGGGATCCCCACAGAGGGACCCCCGAGGCGGTGCCTACCTACGACGAGCGCAGGCAGACACCGCCAAAGTGGCGCTGGATGTGGTCAGCGTTCATCTGATGGACCAGCGCCGCAAAGCGACCCTTCCACCGAGGAACAAAGGCCTCATCCAGCCCCGGCTGGTACACACCACGGGCCTCGGCGCAGCGGGCGAGCTGACCAAGCAGATCCACAAAGGAGGAGGCGAACCCACCGGTTGTCGTCATCGCCGCAGGGACGATCAGAGTTTTTCCATGGTTGAAACCGGTGTAGTAGTCGCGCTTCTCCTTTTCGGCTCGGCGAAGGGCAGCGCCCACCTTGATGCAGGCTTGCGAGGTGGTCGGGGGTTGGGCTGAGCAGGCGGCCCATCTCGTCGCGAAGGGCGTTGTGTCGCTTGATGGGACGGCAGGTCAGCAGGTGCTCTCG